ATCCTTAAACCTTGTGCTACAACAACGAGGAAGAGAAGAGTGCCTAAACGTTCATACAATTCAAGTTTTGAGTTGTTGGAATGTTTAGGTGTTTCTTTGATTTCAAAGTTTCATTTTAATTCTCTTTGTTTTGTACGTATGAGAAATGGAAGAAAAGAGTGCTTAAACGTTCATACAATTCAAGTTTTGAGTTGTTAGAATGTTTAGGTGTTTCTTTGATTTCAAAGTTATGAGGAACTAAACCCCCTTTAGCTAGGGGGTGATTCGAAACTATGTTTATATTTGCAATATGAATTGATTAACTTTCGTTGGAATTTCATAAGTTGTGGATTCAATTTGTTTAACCGTTTGATTGATAACTTATTTATGAATGTTTATTAAGAATGCGCGCTTAATTTTCATGCATAAATATGACGCTAGAATATAAGTGAATTTCACCTAATCGTTATGAACTTATATTCACAAGTAGTGGAGGTTGCTTATAAACAATCGCATTAAATGAATTTTTGGCACGAGTTTCATGCTCATCATAGTAAGAATGCCTCGTCAACACTTATAGTTTTCATAATACTTAATGATCTTTGATTGTATCTTTATTGTGCTGTTCACGTAAAGGACTTTTGGAGAATGTTGTGAATTGCGTTGCGCAAACCCATCCAATTCATTAACTTAAGGAAAACTTGACGGTTAATTTAAGCGGACCTAATTAATCCGGAGTGTTGAGTTTCATAATTTATCGAAAGACCAACTGAGAATCAATCTTGTATGCAAGTATAACATGTGTGGAGAAGAACCCCTTAGCTAGCCTTCATTCCATTCATTCCATCACAAATTCATATTTACATTCCGCTTAGTTTATTAACTTGTTTTGTTATTTCAAATTTTGTCAAATCAAAACTTTTTCCCCCCCCCTTTACTTTCTTGTTCTTTAGTGCTTAGAATCTGTTTAGTTTATGTTTTAAAGTATTTTGAATCAAGCCATATTCTTAAATTCGTCCAAAATTAGTTTTGAGTCTTTTGGTTTATCTTAATGTTTTAAATTTTAGTTTTGCATTCTTTGAGTCCAGTTTAGTGTTTTATATTGTTTCTACGTTTTTAAGTCAATTTAGAAGGTTTTAGCAAGCCCTCCTAATCCCCGGTCTAGAACGATCCCTCACTTATCCATTCTACTACAATTGTCAAACGAGGGTTTAATTTGAGTGTCAAGTAAATTTTAACATCACTTATCCAAACTGAAGATGTGTTGGCGGAAAAAGAAAATAAAAATCTCAAGGTTGTTGAGAGGTTTCGTGTTGAGTAAGAGTTTGCGCATGGCAGTTTGTGTGTTGAGTTCGAGGGGCTTTCTGTTTTCTACACATCTCGTATTTATAGGACTATCATCTTGATGGTCGTCGTGTTGTAAAACTGTCGTCAATATCAAAGCTTCCTCCTGCAAAACAATCTCATGCAAAATAAAAGATTGTTATGCCTTGTCACTTACCAGCACGACAACACCACGTACTAATTAATAGCATATACCAATTATTAGCATATATCTTTGTGCTGATAAGCATCCCAATTTGAAATATGCTAATAACCTGCATGCATGGCTAACCAACTCCAAGCACACGTGGAGGATACTCCTTGTTGATTCCATCTTGGTATCCCATTTAAACCAGAATATTTGGCATCTTCATCTTTATGCATGCATTAATCTCTCTGCCAATCAATATCCATTTGCCAACCAAACGCCGTAGTGCATTAGGACTCTTGATAAAATGCTTTGATACTCCAATCCACCAACGTCTAAATTCCAAGAATCCCAAATCAAATTGAACTGCATTGCTCGCTTTCAAGTCGGAGATATAATTTGCATCTCATTGCGTAAGAAAATGTCAAGACAAATCACTATTAAAAGATAATTATGATCAAAACCATAATATTATCCTTTAATAATAATAAAATTATCTTCACTTTTTCATCCAACGATTGGGAGCTATACCCATTCAACGATCTTAATTGCACGGACCGATGATGCAATTTTGGGTCCAAACAGGAGGACATTTAGCAATTTCCTAGATATTTCTCAAGGTACAATAAATTTACTATGAAATTTCTAAACTAAAGTATAAGAAAATTATATACCATGTGGAACTACGTCAATGGGCCACCAAATGATGGGGCCTAATAGTGATATGTGACTGATATTTTGATTTCATCTGATTTTTCTTAAAAAAAAAAAATGTACTTAATGCTTACCAGTATGGTAGCCAATTTCCCAAATTATACGAGAAATAAAAAAGAAGAAGAAAAGAACACTTAATCGTATATGGTCTCTAGGAAGAGGTTCCATTCGGATCTCTCTCACCAAGTTCTAAGGATCTGGAGATCCGAACTTTTGAAATTTGATCAAACAGCTACAATTATTTTAACTTTTAGAGGAGCCACTTGTTTATAACTGTTTAATCAAATTTTAAGGGTCCAAATCTCCGGATGAGATCTCTTCCATGGTCTCTTGGCACCGGAACCTCCAAACTTTTGCGTTTTTTGTGAAAATTAAATCTAAGATATCTTACCTAAGTAAAGAAGAATATCATTAGACCGTAGTATTAAGTGGCAACAAACCTTTTTTTTTTTTTTCCCCTCCTAAAATGCCAATTTTTGTCTCTCTCACTCTCCACCTGGCTAGAATACATTGGACCAAAATGTATAGCCCATCCGTCCTAATCAGGCTCATTAATTATTTGGGAAAAGGTTCAATCATATACCATTCAGGGCCATGCTTAAAATTAAAATTGTGACATAGACATATACCCTCATATAATTTTCCTCCACATGCCATTGTTCTTCCAAAACATTTCTTCACGTGTTGCATACACTTGGGGTATCTACTCCTGTGGTCTAAATAACAGCTACGTACCCAACAAAATCATTAATTTAGAAACACCACCCACCCCCTTGGGTGCCTTCTTGCATATACTTGCTTATTCACATAAAGTTCTAGGGCATCCCGGATTCGATGAATGGCTCAGCCCTTGTCGATAAACATCGGTGTTTGAGTAGCTAGATTGAGATTTTCAACAGTGGGTTATATAAATTTAGCCGTCCAATGTTCCAGTGTATGTGTGCATTGTAGAATTTTTTCAAAAAAATTATAAAGAAAACTAATGCAAAGGGCTTCAAAACTTTGAGTTTTAACAAAAAAATCATCCTATAATTTTATTTAATGATAAGGACAAGAGAAAGAAAACTAAAAACTAAAAAACCCTAACTAAAGGCGCATGCAAGGAGCACCCAACTAGCCCTTCAGTTGCATAACCCTTTGACATAATCCAAGCATATTTTATTCCTCTAAAATTAAAATTTCAAATTGAAGTGGGTTTTGTTCGATTTAGAACCACATCTGGGGCAGTATGGTTGGGTGGGAGTCGGTCAGGTATGGGTTGTGTGGCATTGAGTTATTAGCCATGCATGACTTTAACAGCGTGGATGTTGATCTCTATCATGTTTTTTTTTTTTTTTTTGATCTTTTTATTGCATTCTGGTGAAATAACTTGAAAATCTAGGACGAGCATCTATCGTTAAGTTTCATAAATAGTGTAGTATCGTTAAGTTTCATAAGCAGTGTACTAAATTTCATAAACAGTATAGTACTATTAAGTTTCATAAACAGTGTAGTAAGTTTCATAAACAGTTTGTGTGAGAAGTGCGTGGATCCGAGTGTAAGTTGTTTTTTATTTTAAATATTAAAATTATGTCTTTTTCATTAAAATTTAAATTTTTTTTATTAAATAAAGTTATAGCATCGTTTTTTATTAAGGTAAACTTAGTTCAAACCTTTTTCATAAAAGTTCTCTTTATAACCTGCAACTCTTGGGTTTTCTTCTCTTTTTCATGCAGGATTACTGTTTCACTAGATTAAAAAAATGAAAATTAGACTCTCTCCCTTATAACTCATTTAATTTCGGGTTCAACCCATCACATTTATTTTTCATGAGAAAAATCTATTTACTAGGCACCAACTACGTAAGTTTCCTTTACTTGCTTGATGACTCAAATTATGTATCTTCCTTGATTTTATACAACGATCAGAACTGTTTGTTTTTTAAGAGCATCTGCAAAGGAATTGTAAAATTTTAATGAATTTATAAATTCATAGATTTCATGGAGTTTAATTGATTTTTAGAGATTCAATATAAAATTTTGATTCAATTCTCTTGAAATCTTAGGGAGAGAGGTGATATTTGTGAATGTTTAAAATACACTACGAAATCTCTCCAATTCCCTCAAATTCCTTAACTTTTTAAAATTCTTTAGAATAAATTCCTAATTGAATACACCTGATATGTTATAAACTTATTTAAAATCCTAATTGAATACTCTCGGATTGCTAATGACTTTAAAAAACTATTTTAAAATCTTGATTGAACATGTTAAATTTTAGAAAATCACTTGAAATTCTAATTGAATACCCCCTACATTCATTAAAAGAATTAAAATGCCTCAAAATCTTAATTGAATACACCCCTTAATTTAACCGTCTATGTGACATTTTGACATCTTTTTAAAGTTTTGCTCTTCATTCGAGTTGTCAAATTAAATTATTATAATAAATGTTTTAAAACTAAGACAAAAACAAATAATAATAAAACTCATTTATAATCATTTAAAAAAAAAATTTGAAGCTACTGTCAATTTCGGTTGAAAAATATCATTATTATCTTTTTTTTATTGTTAGTGCTAATTTAAATATTTTGGCATCTCTTTTAAGATGCTTTAGAAAGTATTGTTTTTTCTTATCATACTTCGTAATTTTCTTGGGCATGATGAGGGAGCTTTTTTAGACTTGAATGTTCAATTAAATCATGCACGCACCCTATAAAGCTGTAGAACCCCACCATCACAATCAACTATCACTCGGCGCGCACACATGGCATTGAAATAACCAGTCCATTGATCTATTATGCGAGGGCATAACTGACATTTCACAGAAAACTATAACTTATAAGGCCAAAGGGCTACACAAAGTAACAAGTGCGAGTGACACTCCCCTTCAGAGGAGAGGGTTCTAATATTGTACATGGAACAACCACCGTACATTGAAGATGATCCGAGCACCACCATCATCAACACCCAAAAAGCCAACTCGCAAGGCGGAGGCACCCGCCACCCGGTGTACCGAGGCGTCCGGAAGCGGAGGTGGGGGAAATGGGTGTCCGAAATTAGGGAACCGCGCAAGAAGTCACGCATTTGGCTAGGTTCTTTCCCCGTGCCCGAGATGGCAGCCAAGGCCTACGACGTCGCCGCCTACTGTCTCAAAGGCCGAAAAGCACAGCTGAACTTCCCCGAGGACGTCGACCACTTGCCCAGGCCCTCCACGAGTACGGCTAGGGACATTCAGGCAGCAGCAGCCCAAGCAGCACGGAGAGTCATGAAGTCATCACATATCACCAAGAAAAATGACGACGACGACGATCATCACGGTGGATTGGACGGTGGTGATGATTTTTGGGGAGAGATTGAGTTGCCTGAGTTGATGAACAATAGCGGGTGCTATTGGAATTCATGTGGCTGGAATATGACTGCGTTTTCAGGTGATGCAGCGGCGGTAGCATGGCCGGAGGGAGAGGCTTGCCTCTGATTAAGAAGTGTTGGGTGTGGTTGGTAAGGCCATTTATGTGTACTAGTTAATTTTGTTAGGTAGATTAGATTGTTTTTGGGCGTGGAGTAATGTTATTCATACCATATTTTTATACAACATTTCTATATCACCTTAAGTGACATCTGATGTGGACAGTCACATTATTTGAATTAATCATATTTTTAAATTTAGTTCATTATTTAAAAATCACACTTAAAATCGAGTACAATTATCCCGTAAATATGTGAAAATTTGTGTATGCATGCATGAATAGCTATTAAATTATTGTTGGTTGGTTTGATTAGTCACTAGGCTCCTAGCCTAACCCCACAACATTTGGGGCGCGAGAAGTTCTAGCATTTGTTAAGGTGAATACCGTGAAAGAGAGCCGAACCCAGATCACTTGAGAGCAAACCAAGGACCTCACAGTTAGACCAACACGTCTTAGGTGTTGATTATCATAAAACCGTTTCATCACTACACTCATCACTCATGAAGAGATTATTAATGATCTTTGATACATGGATTTGTTCCTAATGTTCCCTTACCGTTAATTTCATGCATCCGGCTTCATATGCATTGCTCTCTATATTATTACCAGTCAAAATAGAAGCAATTCTAATGACTTGAAATATAATGTTTATCTACTAATTTGGAGTATAAGTAAAATCACCATATATGTGAACGAAAATGATTTTATTTTTTCCTACTTGTAGGTCATAAATTTGGAATGACCTTACTATGTATTGTTTTTCATGCAAAATCACTTTGAATTAGGCCCGTAATTGGACCTAATTGGTACTTGCCACATCATTATTTAACTGTCAATTTAACATATTGATTAACAGTTGTGTGACAATGAAATGAAATAATAAGTAAATATGGAATTGAAATGTTTTATAAATAGGCTTTTTAACCAAAATGGTCTTCGAGATTTGCATAACTCTTCACTTTGGTCATTGAGATTTGAAATCAATAAGAGTGGTTTTTGAGTTTGTTCACCGTCAATCATTTTAATCATTCCGTGAAAAATTTTATTAAATAAGAACTAAAATGATAAAAATATTATCAATTTAATAAACAATGGGCTAAAATGATTTGATAAAAATTCCGACAGACAAAGTTTGTAGACACTCATAGGAGGTTGCCAGTCTTTGCTAAGTGATTGTCAGCCCTTCCAAAGAACTTGAGGAAGCGAAGAGAAATGGCTAGCGTGGCCCAAAAAAAAGTTTTGTAAACATTACATCAATGTAGAGTTGTAGACAGATGGCTGTCAGCTCCGCCAACAGCCATGAAAACATTAATCTGGAACTGCCGATGGCTTGGGAACCCTGGGAAAGTTCAGGCGCTACTCGATCTCGTCAAGCAGCAAGGTACCACTTTGGTATTTCTGTTGGAGATGAAATGCCAAGTTTTGACGTTGGTGGTATTGAGGGTGCTGATTATTGGAGATTCACGGGATTGTACGACCATCCTTTCACTGAGAATCAAATCTGGTCCTGGAACCTATTGAGGAATCTGGCAAATAAGGCGTCTATCAATCGGATGGTTGGAGGGGACTTCAACGAACTGATTCACATTCATGAAAAGTGGGAGGTCTCATCTGCCCAATCAGACAAATTTGAGACTTCCAGGAAGCATTAAACGACTGTATGCTTTTGAACATGGGTGTCTCTAGTATTTCCTTTACTTAGGTAACCACTCATCATGGTGGCACCAAGGATAGGCTCGACAGGGCGGAAGCTACTGCTGATGTCCAAAGGGTTATATTCAACCTACTCGGGGACTTTGACAAGGTGATCCTTTCGCCCTTTATCATTTCGTGATTTGTGTTGAAGGGATCTCACTAGGCAATGGTGCTGCATCGGTGAATCACCTTTTGTTTACGAATGACAATTTTATTTTCTCTAAGGCTACTGTCTCTAACTGTAACCAGGTTGCTAGCACCCTTATTGCTTATGAACGTGCCTTAGGCCAGAGACTCAACCTCCAAAGAGCAAGGTGTGTTTTAGTCGGAATGTAAAGAGGCAGAAAAAACTAAGGCTTGTCGCTGCAATTGAGGTGAACTGTGTCGACAAACATGAATGTCATCTGGGTGTACCGACGATTGTTGGCCATAATCGTAGATTTTGTTTTGGCTTCATCAAGGAAACGACTACAAGGTTGGAAGGGGAGACTTCTTAGTGCGGTTGGTAAAGAACTCCTTGTCAAATTTGTGGCCCTTCCAACTTATCTTATGAGTTGTTTCATTCTTCCTAAAACAATTCAGTGCGTCCATATCATCCTTTAGGAATTAGGAGGAATGGGTCTGATGAAAAAAAAAAAGAAAAAAAAGAAAGGTCCACTGACTGTCTTGGAACACACTGTGTCAAGCAAAAATCACGTACTAGCAAGTTGATGGCCTTCAATCCTGTCTATCAACTTTTTCCTCCTCTAAAAAACTTTATGAATAATGTTATTCATACTATTTTTTGTACCACATTTTCATACTACCTTAGATGGTATTTGAGTTGAACAAGCTACATCATTTAATTTCAATCTTTTTATTAATTAAAACACTTAAATAATCTTAGGTGAAAGAATGAGACTCCTCGTATACTATAATCATCATTTAATTAACAATCTTTTTATTAATTATTGATTAACATTTTGATTAAATGCTAATTAATTTAGATGATGTGGCTGTCCAACTTATCTGCCACCTAAGATGGTAAAGAAATATTATATAAAATTGTAATAAGAATAGCATTATTGAAACTTTATTAGTTAAAGTTCACAACAACATTGGGTTATGCATCTATTTAAACTCTATCCGTCTCCTCCAAGGAGTGGTGCACGATTGTCACAAGTGCATATCAATACAATGACCAATCTACCCTTTAAAGCAAACATCATTATCACATGCTCAAAAGGCTTATCCATTGATTTTGGTTCCTATGTCCTATTGGTTTTGGCCGGTTTTCAAATCACATGGCGGATTAACAGCACAGGATTTTGATGATTTTTCTAGCTTTTGTCCTTTTTTGTTTATTTAATTTTTTTTGGCACATTTTAATATGGGATATTTTGCATGATAATTTGGTGGGTTTTAGTAGCTTTGCTGTGAGTTTTGACATAGGCCCAAGAAAAGTAGTAGAAATGCTCCCATCATGAAAGGGCGGTCCTCTAACTCACGAGAAATTTTTCAATCCGTTGTGAATACGACAATGTAGTCTAAGTTTATAATACAAATAGTTAAATATTTAAAAAAATTCATATATATATATATTATAAAATTTGATATACCAAAATACGTACCATTATCCTCAAAAATATCTCTTGATTGATATCGATGTAGATAAAGAGTTTGATTGAGGACCACAAATTTAATTGCACTGTGAAACTTCTAATCACAACTGCTTTATTTGATTACTTTTTTCATTCAATTATTATTATGATACATGTGTTGTCACAAGAAAAGTTAAGAAACGTAGATAATGTAATATTCATATGATACTTAACACTATTTAGTGATACAAAAGTAGTTTGCCCTACAAGATGCTACTACTTTATCGGACATTTTTATTCCATCTTTAATATGACATAATGATCTCATTTATCAACAAGAAACAATTATTAGCATTCTAAAAATTTCATTCGATATTCTTTATAATTGTATTTTTCTTTGTAATTATAGAAAGTTTGAAATATTAAATGTGATTTTTAGAGCTCTAATAACAATTCTCTATCAAAATTAAGAAAGACTATAATATCATTATCTTGATACATGGGAAAAGGTATAACGGTCTTGCTCCACATAGTTGAGGGTTTTTTGTTGTTGCTAAATTGTAAAATAAATTAATGTCATTTTTATTTCATGAATATTTCTTTTAAATTATTTCTCCCTAATATATGTTTTTTTCATATTTATTTAGTGTTTAGAACAATGTTTAAAATATCAGTATATGCAATATACAAATTTATGAAAATATCAATAAATATATCGAAATTGATATCGGTTGCTTTTGGTGAAAATAATGAAAATTTAAAATGAAATTTTAGGAATTTTCAAGCATTAGTTTGAATGAAATATCAGAGCTTCTTCCGTATTTAACAAATGTGTCAGAAAAATCGTTAATATATGTCGATTTTAGCTAAACTTAAGAGTTTCTCCGATATAAGGTGAACTATAGACTTTACCCCTTATTTTCATATCTTTCTATGATTTTTTAGATATTTCCATGAAAATATCAATTGAATCAAAGAAATTTTAAACCCTGATTTAGGATGTTTTTATTGCATAAAGTAATGCTTTTAGAGTTGCATTAAGACATGCACTTCTTGTTGTTCGTGTGGACTACTATTGTATCATGGATGAAGTTGACCTAAAAATAATATTAATTGTATTCAAGGAAAATGCTCTATTCCATGCTATGTTCCTAGAAATAGTTCGTACTACATTAACATTGTATTTGAATGAGCAAATTTAAAATTATTTGAGAAATATAAAATAACGGAAATTGAAATGACATAATATATTTTTTTTTATTTGTGATTTTTCTTATTTGATTAACCTAAAAAAATAATAGAATTTGAATTTGAAGTTTAATGTGTGTATAGAGTTATTAAAATATAAATGAGAGAGAGTGGTTAGGAAATGTGCTAGTAATGGTGGTGGAGATGGTTGTAATGAAGGTGGCTGGTGGTGATGGCGTTGAGGACGGTGAGGACAGTGGGTGGTGCTAGGTGGCAGGTGGCATCAGAGGGGGAGACAACAATTTGTGGTGGTGGCTGTTAACGCATAGTCATTTTCGACCCTGACAGGCCCAAAGGAAAGTCAAAACCCGATGAGCATGGAAAGGTGAGGCCGAACGCTGCAAAGAGCTTGAGGCCTCCGAGTGTCTAGTTGGCAGTCATGCCAAGCACTTCCAGTGAAGCGTTTTCCGAGCACTAGATGGTAAGGTAGCCTCTGACAACTTTTAGGCATGGAGGCCTAGGAGCAGAGGAGGCAAGCCTCCTCAGATGTCAACTCTGGACCATGCGGTAACTAAAAGAGGAAATAAAAGACCTAAGAATTGGCATAACAACTGACATGTAGGGCACTCAGGTACGAACTCGTCAGACAAATTAAGAGAGAAAATCATACTGTTATAGCATAGTGCTATTTGTAACTCCATCCTCCATTAATATAAAAAATTCAGTCGACGTAACCTAGAT